CTGCCTGGACTGTCTCCCCACGCTTCAGCTGCTCAGCCACCGAGCTAGACGTGAAGGGCACAATGTCATGCCCGTGATATGCATCCAGGCCGGCGCCAGCCTGAATCGCGTGCCACATCTCGGCTTGGCTAGAGCTGACCGAGGTCCGGCCCTGGAGGGCAAGGCTCGGGGGAGAAAGGGGCAGCGTGAACCGGTTTTCGGTGCCCCCTGTGCCCCTCGCAAAGCCATGCCAACTCCCCCTTTCGGCATTGCCGGGTATCCCCCTCCCTCATTCCACCAGATCCCGTTCCAAGGAATAGGTTAAGGAAGCGGGAAGAGGATCCCTTGTGACCCAGGGAACAGAGGCGGGTCTTCGGTTTGGTTTCGTCCCTTCCTAGAGACATCCGAGTCAAAAGCCCCAGGCTCTCGCCCCCGCCTCTGGCGTTCGATGATAGACTGCTCCTGCACAGGGAGGCTCCATCTGGCGGCGACAGCTAACCGCTCTTCGCGGGGGGGACGGGAAGAAGCGGACTTACTGGGGTAAAATCTGGTACAGCAGGGCCTCCGCTTTACGTTTCTCCTCCAAGTAGGCCTGGGTGCGCTCCTCCACCAGCTCCTCCAGGTTGTTCGCGTACTGCTCCATCCGCGACAGCAGCGTGTCCAGGAGATTGCAGCTGCTGTCCCTGCCAGCGAGATTCAGAGGCTGAAGCGCTCAAAGCCGCTTCCCCGCCAGAGACATCCCCCGGCCTTTTCCAGCCTTTCGTTTGGAAATAAAACAAAACCAAGTTTCTAGTCCTGTCTGTCGAAGGCCCCCTGGGCTCCTGCCTCGCCTTTCCACCAGGGGGCCCCTGGCTTCCCCAAACGGACTCCGATCCTTGACGCCTGCCGGGGAATCCACCCCCCTCCTGGCCCTGGCCGCAGACCGACGGGGTGTACCTGTTGAACTTCCGCAGCATGCCTTTGATGTGCTGAAAGTCTGGGCGCTCCTGGGGGTCCTCGGCCCAGCACCACTGCATGAGATGCACCACCTCATCCAGATTGGAGGGCAGATTCGCCGAGGGGCGGAAGGGAGGCTGTTCCCCGCTCGCGACGCGCTCAATGATCTCTGGAAGAGCAAGAAATGTGGTGGGAAGTGGGGGGCATTAGGAGACGCCTGGGGGGCCGTGGGGAGGAGGAAGACGATGCAGAGAGGAAAAAGGTTTGCATTGGGTCTGCCCCCCACCAGGAGTTCCAAAACAGACGTTGCTTTCCGCAAGGAACAACGGCGGATCACGCTCGCAAGATAAAAGTGCTTTTGCCCGAGATAAAAATATTATCGACCGGGGCCTTTCCCCACTCACCTTTAGGGCTCAGATCCACCCCTTCCACGTAGAAGACGCTGTTGCGCAGGGCGATTTCTTGCAAGATGATGCCAAAGCTGTAGACGTCCCCTTTCTGAGTGCCCAGGCACGGGGTGGTCCCCGACCGCAAGAGCTCAGGCGCCGTCCAGAGCTTCTCTGCGGAAATGGGGAAACAGGGTCAGGGGGTGGTCAGGGCACCTCGACCCAGCACACGAGACTGTGGAAGGTGAAGAAGAAGAAGAGGACAGACAGATGGATGGATGGACAGATAATAGATAGATAAAGAGATAGAAATAGATGATATAAATGATAGATAGATAGATAATAGAGAGAAGATGATGGAGAGATGAATGATAAAGAAAAAGAAGATAGATGATATAGACAGATGATATGTAGACAGATATATATTAAATTAATATCCTATTTTTTTCTGGTAAATTTCTCTCTCCATCACCCCCCTTCCTCCTCCCAACTGTCTTGTAAGGTAGATCAGCGGGAGAAGGAAGGCTCAGACCTTCCTAGCCCTAACTCCTAAACCTCTCGGGCCAATCCCAACGACCCTTCTCAAGGACGCGCCATCTCCTGATCCCAAACAGGCCTCGCGCTCCAGGCATTGCCCACCGGGGCAAACCCGGACGGTCCTCTCGGCCTGCCTGCCGAATTCGCGCCTCCAAGCCCCGGCAAGAGGTGGCGGGGGCCGGGCGCTCCCCTCGGCGCTGCCCTGCTCCCTCTGAGGGCAACTCACTGGCGAAGAGGGCGTGCGAGTCATCGGCCACCTCGGGCGCCTGGCGGAAGGTGCCCAGCCCGTAATCGGTGATCTTCAGCACGAAGCGGCTGTCCACCACGCAGTTGGAGGACTTCAGGTTGCCATGAGAAGCGATCACGCTGTTGTGCAGGAAGAGCATCCCCTTGAAGCCGGGAGAAGACAAGGGTGCAAGAGAGGAGGAGGAGAAAGCATCACTGGAACGCCCCACTCCGGGACCCGGGGCTGAGCCCCCAAGTCGATCAGGAGGCCCCAGATCCCAGGCATGCCTTTCAGCCTGGCACCCCTTTCAGCCTGGCATCCCACGATCACACCACCATCTTGACCTCCTGCCACCCTGCAGACACCCTTCGGTCCTCCACCCTACTTCCAAGCCGGATCCGTCCACTCCACCCGCCGGTCCGACAAAACCGCTGCCGGGGGCTGAAAAAGCACGGCCACCCTCTTGGGGGGCGGACTTCCTGGAACCAGGTTGGCCGCCCCAAGATGCAAGAAGAGTTGCTTGGGTTGGAAGCCTGAAAAAGCTCTTTTTGCACCCTCGGTTACCTTGACGATGTCGTTGGTGAGCGAGTAACGGAACATCCAGTCCAACGTGATGCTGTCGTTTTCTAAAATGTCCTAAACGGATGGGGAGAGGAACATGGGTTTGCGAGCAATTTCAAAGCATCTCTCCGTCCCTTCGCCCCACTATCGCTTTTAATTTCCAAGCCCCGCGGTTATATTTCACCTCCTTGACTATTAATACGCCACCTGTTTAAACATTTATACGTTGCCTCTCTTGAGGCTTGAAAACACAGTCAGATCCCACCTAGCAAATCCAGAAAATCCAGCAAAATACAATTTTTAACCCTGTTTCTTCCAGCTCCTGACAGCCTCTAGTCAACCTGACCAGGGCTTTCAAAGCTAAGCAGGGTCAACCTTGGTTAGCGCTTGGATGGGAGACCACAAAGAAATACCGGTGTCGAAGGCTTTCTTGAAGAAACCGCTGACACTCATAGCCACAAGGACCGAAGCCACAAGGAGACTTTTTCTTTTTAACCTTGTTCCCTGCATTCAGAAATGAGCAACTCTGGGGTGGGAAAATATTAATTTGCTTGGACTTGTCGCGAGGAAGACCGGGAGTCGCGTCTTTAAATATTCTTTTTTCTATCCTTTCTCTTTCTCTGCACATTTTTCTTTACTGTTTTCTTTAGCGCTTTCTTTCTTTCTGATTTTGTGGTAGTGCCAAATTCTTCCATAAAAAGTATTTTATTAAAAAAAAGAAAATAAATGTCTGGGTAAAGCATTGTAACTAAACCCGCCTGTCCCAAATTTGATTCCCAAGGTGGCTTCGGTGTTCTCATCATTCCTGCTTTGGCAGCTGAGCCTCTCAAAATCCAATATTCTCTTTCCTGTGCTGCAAGCCAACTCCTACCCTTTCTCTGCCCGTTAGAAACCTTATCAATTTTTCCTTTTTTCCCCCCTGCCTTTCCCCCCATCCCTGCCTCTCTTTTACAAAGTTTATCTGCAGCGGGCAGCCAGAAATCTCGGCATGTAGAAATCACTGTTCTTGGACACACACACGCACGCGCCCTGCTCATCCGATGTGCCATCAATCACTCTCTGGAATTGGCTCCTCTCTGGGCAGAGAAGAGCAGCTTCTCCAATTTGCCTTTTAATTAAAAGCCCCCGCCCGCCCTCGCCTTGGCCTCGTGCCCAACCGAGATGTGGCCGCCCCGTCGAAGGCAGAAGAAAGAAGCCGTCAGCTTTTCCTTGCTTTTCTCTTTGTCCCAAGCTCATTTCGATGCCCATGTTTTTGCAGGCGCATATGGAAAGAAACGGGCACGCCCGCCAGGGATGGTGCCAGCTGGGCATTGCCCAGCCCTACTAGCTGGAGGTTGGCACAGAGGGCTTCTCAGGAGCTACCCCTTGGCACCGCTTCTTGCTCCACCGGAGGGGTTCGTGCAGGCAGGCAGGCGAGATGGTGACCTCCGTGCCAAGATGCAGCTCTGTGGGGGGCAGAGGCTGGCAAGGCCGAACTCTCCTCTTGCCGAGGGTTTTCCGCGTCAGCCCAAAAAGCCGGCTTATCTTAAACCAGCTTGGCTAATTGAGCCACAGATAAACAGCACTTCCAGGTCAAAAGTGGCTAGCTGCCAGGTTTTTATTAAACTACCTCCCACTCGCCCACGGTCTAACCCTTCCTGGAATGAAAATCATTTTTAAAAAGGGCGGACAAGGAGGAGGAGGAGGAGGAGGAGGAGGAAGAAGAGAAAAATGCCAGAATGATTGGCCTTGGGCCCTTCCCTGTTTCTCCAACACCCCCCTGGATTTTTCCTGTTCTCCCCCCCTTCCTCTCTCCCTGCCACCTTGCCCATCCCCGGGTACCTGCAAGCTTCCCCGGGTGCAATACTCCGTCAAGACGCAGATGTTCGGGGGGTCGATGCAGGCGCCGATGAAGCGCGTCAGGTGCTTGTTCTGGACGTCCCGCATCTGGGGAGGAAGAGGAGGAGGAGGGAGGGGGCACAAGCCCCCTTAGTCTTGCTAGCTTCCCCCCACCCCACCTCGCCCACACTTGCAAATGCCATCCTGGGACATTTCAATGAGGAGAATAGCCGACGCCCTGCTGGGAAACGTGGCTTGCCTTCTGCACATGGACAGAGTGCTTCTAATCAGCAAATGAGAGCCAAGGGGGATTGGGGGGAAGGGAAAGAAGTAGGAGGGGGAGACCCAGACATTGAAGCTTCCGGGGCCAACTCTGGTCCAGTCCTTCCCTTCCTGTCCCCTGCCTACCTCACAGGGTTATTGTTCCGGGGAAAATAGGAGGCGGATGAATCCTGCCTTGGGCAGAAGGCGGGATATAATTGCATCAAGACACCGGCAAGGTGGCACCTCCCTTATTTCTCCAGGGAGGGCACAGAGGCACCCTGCTCTCCAGGAGGGCAAAGGGTGGGGCAGGATGGGAAGAACCGAGGGGGGGTGTCCTGGGCATCTCCTCCGCCGACGCCCAGGAGGGCTCTGGGTTCCCACCAAGGGAGGGAAGGAAGGAAGGAAGGGGCGGGCATCGGAGGCC